TATATTGTAATTTAAATGTAATATATGTGTGTATGATATTAATTATATTATAGGAGGACCAAACTAGCAGAAATAAAAAAAATAACAAATAAATATGTAAATAAACTAAAAGATAAATGTGATAATAGGAAAACAAATAAAGGAATAAACGACTTAATAAATAATATATTATAAATAAATATAATTTATTTTTAATCAAAATATTTTTAATCCCCCCCCCCCTGCTTTTAATTATTTGTTCATTAATATTTATATTTAGTAAGCAAGACCAACCAACCTAATTATCATGCACATCAAAAAAAAAAAAAGCAAGAATAAATAGAACTAATAGAACTAAAGGAAGTAAATTGAAATAAATAAACGTTAACGGTCAAAACTTAAAACTAATATATCTGGAAATATATAAATATCTGAATAAATAAATATACAAACAATCAAATAAACAAAATAATAAATAAATACAATTAAATAAAAAATTAAGGGGGAAATTATACAAAAATACATTTGATTAAAAATAAATCATATTTTATCAAGTCGTTTATTCCTTTATTTATTTTCCTATTACCACATTTATTTATTTATTTAGCTTTTTATTCATTAATTCGTTCATTTTTAAATTGGTCCTCCTTTCTACTGCACATTGCATCTTACTGCACCGTTAACATGTATTTTAAACATAGTTAGAGATTATGATGAAACATTCACCTTTACAAACAAAGATACTCTTACAACGAGGAGTTCACTGTTTCTTATCGGCACAATCCATTCAACACGATGACAAGTATCGCTACCCTACTTCCGGTCTCGGTCGCCATTTTAAGTCACTATTAAGTCATTAAAAGGTTATTAAAAGATGAATCGTGTTATGTCTGATCAAATATAAGATGATACCTTACCTTAATGAATATCTCTCTGTCTGTAGACACGAATGGGGCTGTCAGGCTACTCGATTGCTTCGCGGCGAGCCAATCACATAGACATGGAGTGCTACCTTACTTCCGGTCTCGGTCGCCATTTTATGAAATAGGCCTATCGCAAAAACAACGTTTAAAAACATAAATCAAGCATTAATCCAACTAATACGTTTAAAATACGATCTAGTTCTATAACGTATGGTGAAAAACGTCTTTCATTTTAAAACTGGACACCATCGTTTGAAAGCACAAACGGCCCTATACTCCTAGAACCATTGATTAACTTAATTAGTTACACTGTACTGTAGGAAAACACAAGGATGGGTTAGGGCCATACAATACACGGACAAAAAAAAAAAAACTACACGTTTGAATTGCGCCTGCTCAAACTGGATTTTTAAACCTAAACTTGTCCCTCAAAACTTGACTGGTTGATGGGAATGTTGTCCTAGAATTAACAAAGAAGCGTCATAGAAGTTGAGAGGAGCACTGGCATGAGTGAGCAGCGCCCTCTACTGTTTGTCTTTTAACAAGACGAGAGATTTGTTCAGGTCATATGTTACGTAGAATAAAAGTATATGTGTAAGTTCACAGCACAGACCTCGACTTACACAACAGCTGGTGGATTAAAAAGACAAGCAGGGAATTAATTCTTAGTAATTATTAGTGTGAAGATGAAAAGGTCAATAGACCCAAAATATCTGTTTGTGAAAAACATCAAAATTCAGATCAGATCGTTTTTTTATCAGATTTTGTGAAGGAATAATCAACAGATTTATTGATTATCGTTAGTTGCAGCTCTAGATATTATGAGTTATTATATCATACTTATATTAACTTTTGTTTTATTTGGTCAGGTATTGGACATTTACAGAGCTAGAAAAACAACAAGAAAAAGATGAAAAATAAAACAAATAAGAATGTAAACAACTATATGTATATGCATCTGAATATTCATTCTCCAACCGGATTTAATCAGATACAGAGTTATTTAGTATTTATTCACAACCAACCAAATGCTTCCTCACAGGCCGCACTCCAATAAAACTGGCTTGTGCTCTATTCTGTGGAGGAAGGAAAAGCCACCAAAGCAGTTGAGCTCTTCAAAAATAAGACACTTTAGTGAACAAAAGAAATGAGGCGATGGAAGAATGGTGTGTTCACTTTAAAGATGAATTTCAACACAGATTCATTCATGAACCCAGTTCCTAACAGTGATGCTGGCCTTAACAAACACCACTACATACACACAAAGATGAGTAATGAGTGTATATATACATAGAGGAATAAATGAAGATGATAACGATAATTGGAGAATTATATAATACATGTAACATAGAGCTCTAGCTGACTTCTGCTGATATCAAGTGTTGTTTACATTTAAATGATCCTCAGCACTGCATGTCAGTCCAGTAGATTGTGTTGATTTTTGAAATCATCACAACTCTTTCTGAAGCCTTGAAGCCTGCACACACTTGCTGCAAGCTCTTCACAACTCGATCAATCTCCTCACAACTCGATCAATCTCCTCACAACTCGATCAAGCTCTTCACAACTTACGAAATTGGTAAGTCTTAGTGATTTGTCCAGTTTTTGTAGTTGTACTTGATCCAGTATCATGGAGCAGCGTCGGTCAAGAAGATCCAGGACTCTTCCCGCACACCTGAGGGGATTCGTGGTGGAGGACGTCTCTTCGCGATCAGACCCATGTGAGCCTTCACAGCTGGCAGTCAGGTTGGACCACACCTACAGCTGCAGCTCTGCCAGAGCTCCACGACCCACAGTTTTGGAAGAGCGCTACCTGAACAACGCTGCTGTCCTTCCCGACATCTGTCCGGCCGTCGCTGTCCTTCCCGACATCTGTCCAGCCGCCTCAGTGTCTTCAGTGGACGCCTGTCAAGAGGAAGATCCCGTTACCATCCACGGCCACAGCATCGAGGCGTACCAGGACATCTACCGCTCTGTGGTGGAGCCCATGCTGAAGACACCCAGTGGTCAGCGCCGTCCCTACAGCCTTGAGCTGGGACTGAAGATCAAGCAGCGACTGTGGAAGGCCCTCAACTGCCCTTCAGTGGAGGAGACGGAGCAGCCTGACGGACGTGTCCTGATCACGGAGAGCTTCTCCACACCCAGCAGACGCCTCGCTCCTCGGTTCCACGTGGACATCAGCGAAGAGCCCCTGCCTGAGGAGCCCCGAAGAAAGAAGCCCAGACACTGAGTCATCACAGTGTCACATGGAGCCCGGAGTATCACACAGCGGGACCACTGAATGTAAATAGTTACTATAGAGTAAGTTTAGAGTTTTATAAGTTTCATTTAAGTTTGGAGTTTTATGAGTAAGTTTTATTTTGTACAGTAATTTTAGAGTTTTATGAGTAAGTTTTATTTTCTGGAGGTGTTTTGTTGTGCGGGTGTTCGGATGTTTTCGGTCGTTGTCAATTGCGTTGATTTGCGGTTCACGGGTTGTTCGAAGCGGTTTTTGGTGCTTTGCTCTGTAGGCGTCGGGATGTTTTGGACGGTTTCCTGTGTGTTGTCATGCGTTTGAAGGATTTTTGTGCGGTTGTCAGCGTGTTGTTTTACGGTTGCTGGATTTTCCGAGTAGTTGTTCATGCTTTGATGTCGTTGTCAGGAAGTTTAGAGTGGTTGGTTGATATGCGGTTGCTGTTGTTGGTTAGGGTAGGTTAGGGTCCCTCACTCGGTTTGCAGCTTGACGTGCTGTGAGGGCTTGTGTGCATCAGTGATGCTGAGAGCTACGCCTCTGGTACTTCACAACTACTGGTAGGGTCACCCATAGAGGACAGGTCTCAACTGAGATGCCAGACGAAGACAAACCACCTGATTCTGGACAAGAGGAGATTGACCTGATGTTTCTGGCAGAAGATCTCAGTCTAGTAGCTGGAGATGGAGATGCAGAAGAGATGGAGATGCAGAAGAGATGGAGATTCAGAGGAGATGGAGATTCAGAGGAGATTCAGAGGAGATGGAGATTCAGAGGAGATGGAGATGGAGATTCAGAGGAGATGACCATCGGCTGGCTACGCATCTTGTCAAATCTGTTAAGATGGAGATTCAGGGAAGATGGAGAGGAGATGGAGATACAGGGAAGATGGAGATGCAGAGGAGATGGAGATGGAGAGGAGATAGAGATGCAGAGGAGATGGAGATTCAGGGAAGATGGAGAGGAGATGGAGATGGAGAGGAGATGGAGATGCAGAGGAGATGGAGATACAGGGAAGATGGAGATGGAGAGGAGATGGAGATTCTGGGAACATGGAGATGCAGAGGAGATGACCATCGGCAGGCTAAGTATCTTGTCAAATCTCTTAAGATGGAGATTCAGAGGAGATGACCATCGGCTGGCTAAGTATCTTGTCAAATCTGTTAAGATGGAGATGCAGAGGAGATGGAGATGCAGAGGAGATGACCATCGGCAGGCTAAGTATCTTATCAAATCTCTTAAGATGGAGATGCAGAGGAGATGACCATCGGCAGGCTAAGTATCTTATCAAATCTGTTAAGATGGAGATGCAGAGGAGATGGAGATGCAGAGGAGATGACCATCGGCAGGCTAAGTATCTTATCAAATCTCTTAAGATGGAGATGCAGAAGAGATGGAGATGGAGATGCAGAGGAGATGACCATCGGCAGGCTAAGTATCTTGTCAAATCTCTTAAGATGGAGATGCAGAGGAGATGGAGATTCAGAGGAGATGGAGATGCAAGAAAAGATGGAGATGCAAGAAAAGATGGAGATGCAGAGGAGATGGAGATGCTGCCTCAGAAGTTACTAGTAAGTTTAGTTGCTGATTGCATAAATAAAAAGCTCACTGTTTAGTTTTTTCATCTTAATCTTTTTAAAATCTATGTGGAGACATTTGTTTGTCTTAAAACAAATACAAAACATTGTCCAATGCATCTGCAAAAAAAAAAAAAACATAATTAGTCATTATAACATGTACAACAATGCATTAACATTCTTTTTATTTGTAAAATAAAGCTGTGTCTTTATTTCTGATTTCCTGAATAAATTGGCTCCGTTATGTAAATGATCTTTCTTTGAAAAGTTTGGGGGACAAAATACATTTTATGAACAAAGTTACTTTGTCTTGAGCTGACCAATAATGGTAGTGTGTGTTGATTGGTGTTTATAGTTCAGGCTCGACAACCTTATTGCCGTGCATATATAACTCTTTTATTTTTCTTCATATTTACATTAGTTGTTTTTCAGAAAGCTGCTACAGAAGAAAAACTGAAATCTGAGTGCAGAGACAAGGGAAGAAGAGAGTAGTAAGTATGTTTTGATCTCATATCACCTCTGTTATGGAGATTTTGAATCAGGCCTATTGAACGGCGGGTGACAGTTAGGAAAATGTTAGCAACGTGTCCATTTCAGGTGTCGAATTTGTGCTGCCTTTGAGTCATTCACGGAAAAATCCGTTTATTTAATTGTTTTGTTTTTTAGTAAAGCTATAATTCAATTGTCCAAGTTGTCCTGGCATACAATATTTTGAATAATTTCTAATTTCCTTAAATCTTTAGATCTTTCTTTACAATAGACAGGTTCATGGGAAATACCCTAGGTTTTAAATGAACCACAATTATCAATATAAAACATATCCTCTAATACTCACAGGTTGCTTTATTGCTGCAAATAACTACATCAGTGACTCTTTGACTTTGCTCACTGTAAATTGTGTTGGGCTTCTTCTAATCTCATGTTCGATGTAACTCGTAGAGCGCTGTACAGTGATGACAGACAAGAGGATAAAGCTTGATGAGGAGGATATAGCCAAAGCTTTTAAAGGTAAACTGAGAAGTCAACAGAATTCTAATGCATTTCTATGCAAATAATGATATATAAAACATGAATACAAAAATGTTAATCATTGGTTAATTTGATATTAATTATTCTTCCCTTTCAGAGATCCTCTGATAAAGCGGTCTTCAAATACTACAAGCCCCAGTTGTAGAAGATGAGTCGAACTCAAAGAAGTGATCGTCCACATGAAGATGAAGATCTGATATTCAAACTTTTCTGTTTCTTTGGTTCAGCCATTTTTAGGCCTAAGCTTGTAAATAATTTATTATTCACTTCTGCAAATTATTTTTCTGAAACTTATTTTTATTTTTTCAGAAAATTGCATTGTGATGCTTATCTAGTGATGTAAAATTCATAGTGTACTTTTCACTAATAAAAATTCAAAATGTATAAATATAGCTCTGCCATAGCATTTCACTGATTTTCTAATTTACTTTTATTTCTTTTTTTATTCTTATGTAATTTACACAAGATATACTATATTAAAGTTTTCTTGATTTTCAAAATCTTTTTGTCTTAATTTATATAAGTATGCTTATATTTAATTATCTTTGCACGTTTAATATACCATTTTAAATACTGAATAAAACGGCTTCATAAAAACCCTAGCGAAAAAAAGTATGCTAAGTATACTTCCAGTGTGTTAATGATTAGTTAACTTGAAATGTGCTATTTTGGATAATTTTTTTGTACTAAATGTATTTTAGTTCTAATAAAAATATACTAATATATAACTTTATGTGTATTTAGTGTACTTTCACATATGCACTTAAAGTGTACTAAGTATAAAGTATTTGAACCAGAGTGAATCTCCCACTGTACTGTCTCATGTTAAATAAGGGCTGATGTTGAATTACACAGGAAGATGGGCCTCCAGGAGCAGAGCCTGACTCCCCTAACACAACATTGTTTGCCATAAAAGAGATGGAAAACTTTATACGTACAGTTTGTTGACCACCTCCTTGAGGTCATTGGTCTGGACCTCACGAGTCATGATTTCCATCATCTTCAAGCGGATCTGACGGACCTGCTGGTGCTGAGCATAGGAGGTCTTTCGGATCTGGTTGGTGCTCTTCTTGGTGAAGCCCACGCAGAACAGGCGGAGAAGATAGCCATCAGTGGTCTTCACATCAACATGAGCCTCAATCATTGTCTAATGGGAAAGAACCAATCAGCATTTTAAAATGGCCAGCACAAAAATAAAAATAAAAATAGCTGCAATACAGAGAACTTTTTCCAATTAGGCAAGTATTTAATCCCCAAAACTAAAGATGTAATAAAGGAACTTTCAAGATCAAGCATCAAGATCAAGAACACCACAATTCAACAACACAATACCAATCTTGAAAATACTTTTTGGAATGTGAAACCATATTGAATCCGGCTTCAGTCAAAACTCTTTCAACCACTTTATTTTAAATGTTCCTGAAAATTTGGATGATTTAATATCAGATATGCTAGTAGCTGAGTACATAAAATGAACAACTTGGGACTTATTGGACACCCTTTGCCTTATTCCACAAGTTATATTTATTCTAGGTGTTAGTCCTGGGTTTAAGGAGACATAACTGTAAATATCAGTATAAAACATTTTCGAATCTAAAATTTTCTAAAGTAGAAAAGAAAAAATCGTGCTCTATCGGGCTCAGCCTATAACTATTATAGGCTCACCATTGTGGTTTAGTGTAAGGTAGCCTAAAACACGGTATGGAAAATGTCTTTATGATGTACTCACGCATTGTTGACGTATTCATTTTTTACATTTGTGTGGTGTTCTCACATGAAGGATCATAATGGTTTTTCTTCCGATTTTTAAATGGTCAGCATACACTGAAGGAGTCATAGAAGTTGAGAGGAGCACTGGCATTGAGTGAGCAGCGCCCTCTACTGTTTGTCTTTTAACAAGACGAGAGATTTGTTCAGGTATATTGTAATATGTTATATATATTTGGCAATTGACACTGTAGTAGAATAAAAGTATATGTGTAAGTTCACAGCACAGACCTCGACTTACACAACAGCTGGTGGATTAAAAAGACAAGCAGGGAATTAATTATTAGTAATTATTAGTGTGAAGATGAAAAGGTCAATAGACCCAAAATATCTGTTTGTGAAAGACAATGGCCAAACATCAAAATGCAGATCAGTCTTCATAAGGTAATGAAAATAGTAAAAATAGAAAACTTTATAAAGTAATAAATAAAATAATAATAATAAATTGATTATCAGATGATGATGACAATTTTCTTTATGCAGCACCACATTTACAAATTTATTTGCTTTAAAAACTTTCAGTGCTTGGAGCTAGATGTGGATTGTGGAATACAATTTTTTTTTCGATAAAAAAATATAGAATAAAATCCAACTTTTTATCAGATTACGTGAAGGAATAATCAACAGATTTATTGATTATCGTTAGTTGCAGCTCTAGATATTATGAGTTATTATATCATACTTATATTAACTTTTGTTTTATTTGGTCAGGTATTGGACATTTACCGAGCTAGAAAAACAACAAGAAAAGGATGAAAAATAAAACAAATAAGAATGTAAACAACTATATGTATATGCATCTGAATATTCATTCTCCAACCGGATTTAATCACTATCCTATAGAGTTAGGTAGAGTTAGGTAACTCTAATCTACTGTATTTTGTATATACGGTCCTTTGCTGCTCTATAAACCTATGAATACTGAGGAGATCATGGTTTCTGTGTGAACTGATTATTTTGTAGACATCTTTTGAAAATGAAACAATTGCGTGAGTTTGAGGAAGATAAAATTAATAAACTTTTTTAAAACAGTTGTTTAAAAAAAAAAATGTAATTATGAGAAGTGCCCTTTTTTCACTTGAGCCCCTGCCTCACAAAATCTCTGTGCACGTCCCTGGTTGGCGCAATTAAAACTTGTAAAAGTCTGTTGTAACGCAAGCCTTACTGAATATGCACACAGTTACATGCATGTGTTACAGCAAAAAGTAATATGTTACTGTAATGTATTACTGTTGTAACGCGATACTCCCAACACTGATCACACACACACACACACACACACACATGTGAGGTGTGCAGCAAGCTGATAAGATGGGAATGTTCGGAGCTGTTGGGGATATTGTCAGGGACTCAGTGAGATGATGAGAAGTGTGACATACCAGCAGGTTGAACTGGTTGAACAGGTCTTACTGATGGTAGAACAATCTCATTTCTGTCCTTCTCTCAATTCGTGCTTGTTTGGGATTTGTTGGACATTCACTGGAACTACTGCCCTGAGCAAACCAAGATGGACTATTGTGGACTAAAGGAGATATTTTTTAAGATCCATAACTCTGCCAACAAGCTTCTGACCTCAGCTCTGGTGCTGTTTACTGATCTCACAGCTGGAATACTTGGTCATTTGTTATTCAGACGGCATTTTCACTGCCTCCTCTCTCTGCTGGTGCTGTTTGGACCTGTTCTGAGTCTTTGGGTATCCAAGTACAGCATATTTGCCAACAAGAATCACTACCTGTACAGGCAAGATCTTAGTTAACTTAGAAATTCCTTAATTATGAGACCTTATTGCAGATTTTGTGTGAAGTGTGAATTTTATCTTTTAATTTCCATCAACTCTTCATCTAATAAAAAATGTATTAGTTCTTCTATAATAAAAGAAATTCTTATTTTTGTTGTAAATATTATCAAATGGTCTGCATTTATATAGTGCTTTTACAGACCCAATGGCCACCAAAGCGCTTTACATATTGCCACACATTCACCCAACCATTCACTCATACACCGACGGCAGTGTCAGCCATGCAGCTGGGGTTAGTTGTCTTGATCATGGACACTTGGTCAGGTGGAACCAGGGTTTGAACCACCTACCTTCCAGTTAGACATACTTGAACCACTGAGCCACTGCCGCCCCATTAGTAACACTAACACTAAGATTAAATTATGATTGTGTGAGGACCCTATAAATTGATCTGTTTATTAACATGCATCACCGGTAAAGAATATTTTTTTAGCATTCGCTTTGGTTAATGTAAATTTTATAAATGTATTGTAGATCTTATTGACTTTAATGAAGCTTTTATTAAGGGATAGTTCACTTTGAAATTAATTTTTGATATGTTTTAGCTTACCTCAAGGGCATCCAAGATGCAGGTGTCTTTGTTTCCACAGCATTTTCAATTTTGACATTTTTCGGTCAAACCGGTGTTGTCTGTCAGTCATATAATGCAGGAATGGGGGGGGGGGGGGGGTCTACCTAAAAAAACATGCACAGAGAAGTCCAAATTAAACATGATTTAATGACTCGTGAATGTAAGTAACGTTACACATTGATTGCCTAAGACACGAAACGAGCGGTTTGTGTGAGAAAACGAACAGTATTTATATAGTTGTTACCTCTTGTAATCAGAAGTCCAACTGAACCGAACTGATCCGTCTCCAACGTTGCGCCGGAAGTGATCTCTCGCTCACGCATTCTTTACACGGAGATTTCGGAAGTTTTACCTTTCACTAAACATATTTAGATATACGGGAAATGGCAATGGAAGACGATTTCGATATAAATAAAACTCCCGAAATCTTCATGTAAACATTGCGTGATGTAGACGCGCGAGAGATCACTTCCGGTGTAATGTTTTTTTATTTTTATTTATTTATTTATTTTTATTGAATCTTATATCAAACATACAACAAGGCACATCACAACCATCTTCAGACAATCTTACAACATGAATTGAACATGGAGTACAACATTGTAAAAGAAAAAAAATAGCAATAATAAAAATAACTAAATAATAATACAACAAAATAAATAAATAAATAAATAAAAAGAAACCAAGAGACTCAGCAGTAGACACTAGGAAATAAGTTTGCATAAGTATTCATGAAAAATTAGGGCTTTTTTATTTTACACCATTTCAGGGATTACTTCCGGCGTAATGTTGGAGACGGTTCAGTTCGGTCAGCAGTTGGACCTAGGGGGTAATCCATCAGCCGGAAGCTGAAGCTGCCTCCGGGGGCCGCCATTGTAGCATCCATACTATCGCCTGCTGTTAGCATCCCATTGACTCCCATTCATTTTGGCGTCACTTTGACAGCGAATAACTTTACATCTGAGGCGTCCAAAGACTCCCCATTATTTATTTCTAAAGAAACACGACAATGTATAAAAGGCTTCATTACTTTGTATGTTACGTTATGGCCACGTAGAAGCCGTTCTTGTAAAAATAGGCTAAAAATTGCGTCATAACCACTCGACTGTCCGTCGCACAGTAGAGAATTACCGTATAGACAGAAAGAAAAGCTGGCACAGCCTCGCAGGCAATCTTTTACTGTCTAAAGTCAGCCCATGGCATAAATAGAAGCAACATGACAAAATAACTAATCAGAATACTTACCAAAAGTTGCTCCAGGTCGCGCTTCGCCGTCTCTGTACAGGATTAAAATTTCTCTTGGCACAGCTACTATAAGTCAGTCAGTTTGATCACGTGACATCTACGTCGTCAAGCTCAGTTTGAGCCTGCGCAGAACTCTTGGCTATCAGGAAGTGAGTGCCCATGTTGAGCTTCAGCTCTCTCCGTTGAAATCAACGGGGTCGCTGTGTCCATTTCTTTTACTGTCTATGAGTTGGACATCTGAAGGTGCGTTCCATTCGACAGGGTCCCTACGCAGTACTCCCTGAACACGGTTTATCATTTGAAGTGGAATTCACTGACTTCCTGTGAAGTGATGTATCGATGTTCCCTTATTCCCTATGCTGTTTGCAGTGCCCTTCGAACTGAACATGTTTGTTCCCTTCGAATTGGAATCTCACTTAACCCTCAGGTGCTCTTCGGTCATTTCTGACCGAAAAATTTTCTGTTTTGAAATTTTTAAAATCACAGCTTCATCGGAATGTTACGAAACTTGGTGACTTTTATGGCATTGGGTATGTGAACACACACGCACAAAAAAATTGAGGTCATGATCCGAGCAGGCTAAGTGGTCGTAAAAAAAAATAGTCACACTTGTGCTCTTCGGTCAAAAATGGCCGACCCATAGGAAATGAATGGGAAATTGACAAAAAAAAATTTGTATGTACAATCTACAAATCGGACACAATTCAAAAAAAAAAAAAAGTACACCGCAGGAAAGGGGTGACACTCTACAACATCTAGAGTGCAAAACAGACACACCCACCAACACACACACACAAACACACTTTTATACATACACACCAATAAATTTTGATTACAAAAAGTGTGTTTTGAATTTTTAAAAATCACAGCTTCATCGCAATGTTACGAAACTTGGTGACTTTTATGGCATTATGTATGTGAACACACACAAAAAATTGAGGTCATGATCTGAGCATGCTAAGTGGTCTTAAAAAAATAGTCACACTTGTGGTCTTTGGTCAAAAATGACCCCCATAGGAAATGAATGGGAAATTGTAAAAAAAAAGAAAAGAAAAAATGTTTTTGAAAAAATTGTGAATTTTTGTTTTTTGTCAATTTTTTTTATAAGAAATAGTTTTTGAGATTGTTTCAACTATATATTCAAATCCACCACCAACAACAACAAAATGTGTTCATAAACAGCTGGGGAATTCACATGCCTCAGCTGTACATGCCATAGTGGTTACACCATGATTCTACTCTTTTTCTCCATACTGTAACCAGATGGTGCTAATTTTCTTCAAAAAAATATTTGGAAATATATATATATATTTCCATGGCAAAAATAAACAATAAATATTGCATACATATTGTATTCTGAGATGTCTCATTTGATTCTGGTTGTTGTGATCTCATAGGGTATTCCTGCATTCATGCTGGGGCTGGACCTGCATATTATGCGGCTCTTTCGTCTTTCTTCTGTCATACTGCATCAGTAACTCTCTCGTTCACTCAGTCCGTCACCTCTCTCGGCTCGCTGTGACCGGGACCCTGTGGACACTGTTCCGTCGTCTTCTCTCCTTCCTAGTGGACGCCTCAGGAAGCTGTTTTGAGCCACTACAAAGCAGCACAGAAGTTTGCAGGAACCCCGGGGAGCTCCTGGACTCTGATACGGGCCCCTTATTACTACTGAGAGAGGAGAAGGGTAAAGCAGCCTGCCTTAGGGCCGGGCTACAATGGCAGGGATGTGAGGTGTCTGATGAAATTCTGATTCTAAGTTTATGTTGTTTGATTCTTGTTGAGGAAATAGCCGTTTTTGGGCCCTGCATGGCTCTAGGAAAGCCTCCGGGAGCGCCACTGAGGATTCTCTTCATGCTGTGTGTGTTGTTGATGAGTCTCTGGATCTTCCTGATTCTCTGCTTGCTAGCACACTTCCCACAGTTCCCTTCCCAGCTGGTTGGAGGAGCTCTTGGGTATTTGGGGTGGAAGGGACTTTATAAGAGCTGTAATGTTTTAAAGCCTGGCTGGTGCTGTCTTGGAAGTAAAAGAGCTTTGCATTTGGACATCACAAGTAAAACTGCTGTAATAGCATGTAAAGGAAATCAGGAATAATATATATATATATATATATATATATACACATATATATACACACATATATACAGTGTATATATATATATATATATATATATATACAGTATATATATACATAATATAAACCAACATATGACTAGAACTCAGAGTTATCACAAATGAATTATAGGCTGAATAGCTAGATTTAAGTACACAATCAGATTTAGGTCAACCAATTATCAAGCAATGCTTAATTTTGTTCAGTCAAAGGTCGCTTTAGAAATTAAGGGGGGAAAAACACTTAAGCAAGCCATGGACAGGTCAAAGTGTCTGAATAATGTTTCTATTCTGATTTTTTATATATATTACTGTATGAAGAATTTTTGGATTAAATATGTCATAGTTTACTTTATTTTGCTATCCTCACTTACACAAATGAAATATAGAGTCCTGCACCCACTAAAAAAATTACATCTGGTGTCTGAATAATTTTTGGTTTGTGTGTGTGTTATTTTCAAAATTAACTAATACATTTTTTTTAAATTAAAAGTTGTATCTGTGTTGAATTTAGAGGTCCAGCAAAGAAATGTGTTGCTCGCTCATTATTAATTAATGTTGGTTCTTGCATTAACTAAAGTTAATTAATAATACCTTGTTGTAAATTGTTACCAGTTTATAAAAACTTTTAAAATTAATTACTCTCTGCATTTATTTGATAAAAAAACTGTAAAAAGAATAAAAGTAAAATTGAATAAATGAAATTGAAAAAATAAATAAAAAAGGCTTTCTGTCTGAATATATTTTAAAATATACTGAATATTCAGCATTATTACTCCAGTCTTCAAAGTCACATGATCCTTCAGAAATCAAAAACATTTATTATTATTAATCTGTTATGCTTCATGCTTTAGTGTAAACCGTGATCCACTTCTTTCAGGATCTTTGATGAATAGAAAGTTTAAAAGAACAGCACTGGAAACAAAAATCTTTAAATTTCCTTGCTGTCAATTTTGATTAATTTATTGCTACCTTGTTGAATAAAAATCTAAATTTCTTTAACTTAAAACAATTATTTATAGTTATTTTCCTGTTTTGTCAAACTGTAAAGATAATGTTTTATTTGACATTATGAATGAAAACATGAGTGATGCCACATTAAGCAGAACTCTTTATTGAGTAAAAACTCCTACAGTTGATTCTGTTGATGTAATTGAAGCTCAAGCCAATGCACTGTGACCGTGTGATGTGAAACTCAATACGACATGTTTTACTTTTCAGCAAATGTGTGTGTTTGTGTGTCGGCAGCAGTTCTCAGTAGATAAGCGCTTTTGAAGATAAGTCTCCTCTGGGTTTCTTAATCTTGTCAAAGTTCTTGATGATGACATCATACAGCATGGCCTAGATTTGAACAGAATGGATCAGTCACACAGAAGCACCGACTAACATTAAAACTGAGACGTTTTGTTCAGGGCAAGCTGAGACTGAACTTACGTAAGTGTTGCGAATCTCCAGTGCTACGATCCGCAACTCACAGTACTGGTGCTGATCCAGTTCATGGACGAGCTGCCTGAAATCTCCCTGTTTCCAAGCAACAAAACAATCAAATTACCAGAAGCGCAAAGATTTTTGAAAACATGTCTAAATCGAACACAAAATAAACTGACCACATGTGGCTGTTTGGAAGCCTTGGCTACAGCGTCTCCCCTCTCGCTGTAGTACCTGAGTAAACACAAACAGTGAGAAATATAACACATTGAAAATACATTCATATAATAATAGAGACGTCGTGAGGGTAATGTTTGACTGTGGCGTGATGCTGTCTGGTCTCTTACTTGGAAATCTGTGTCTGGAATCCCTCGATCTTGGTGCGGGTGTTGGTAAGCAGTTCAAAAACTTTTTCCTGTGGGAACATTTTTTTTCACATTTCAAACAACATGCTATATATAAATGAGTACAACCTTTCTATCTTGTGTACCACAACCTCATCAATATGTTCAAGTACAATATGTTTTACTTCCTGAGATGCAAAGCTGAATTTGCAGCATCATTACTCCAGTCTTCAGACAATTTTATTTGCTTGAAAATATTTGAATTAGCCAAAAGTGTATTACAACTTTAGAATTATATTAAAGGAGAACTCCGGCACAAAATGAACCTTTGGTCTAATAAAACATTGGTACCTAGTTGATCGTTCTCTGAGATTTGTTTTCATGATAATCAAATGTAAAGAGTTTTATCTCTAAAAACTGTTTACTGTATAATGCTAGTAATGGGGGCATTGACTAAGTAAAAAGAAACCACTAGTTTATACCACTAACAAGGCTCAAAATAGCCCCACACTAACGCAGTAACATAATGAGGGTCCATACATGCAAAACGAAGCATTGAGAACTTTGTAAGAGTACAGACACTGCTGTTCGCTTTCAGAACTTTTCAGTTTGTAATTGTTTTTAAATATAATTTAAATAGATTTTACAGACTTAAAGCATTATTATATCGCATTTAGCACTTATCACATTTTTCTTCAAAATCTTTCAGCTCTTTTACAAATATGCAGACATTTAAATCTAAACTAACAAATGTTGTTTGATTTTGTCACAATCTAGGGTTAACTGACCTGTACAGACACTCCAAAATTGTTCCCATCTTCAATTCTGGGGACCTGTAGCTGTATCCACATTGATACCTGCACAAAGGTGTCACAATGTAACAAAATGTACACCAATTTACCAAAATGCTTTATTAAAGACATAGTTCACTTTGAAATTAATTTTTGGTAAAAAACGGTAAAGGTAAAAAGTAAAAACAATATAAATACTGTTCGTTTTCTCACACAAACCGCTCGTTTCGTGTCTTAGGCCATCAATGTGTACTTACATTTACGAGTCATTAAATCGTGTTTAATTTGGACTTCTCTGTGCATGCTTTTTGAGGTGGTGACCATAGACCTCCATTATAAAACTGATAAGACAAGAACGGTTTGACCTAAAAATATCGAAATTGAAAATGCTGTGGAAACAAAGACACCTACATCTTGGATGCCCTTGAGGTAAGCTAAAACATACCAAGATTAATTTCAAAGTGAACTATCCCTTTAAATGTCTCGATGCCAGCAGAGTCTACATGCAGTATAAAAAGAACTATAAATTAAAGTATTGGAAGTATTAGAAGTAGTAAATTATAGAACCAGTTGAGTAATTACATATGTTATGTAAATACATATTACATATGTCAAAAAGTCAAATCATCAAAAAAGTTAAATTTGAATATCATCTTTACCTTTATTTTATTTATTATTATTTTTTTTTTGATGGGTTTAACTTTTTGACAAATGTAACAGTTCAGATCTGCATAGCTACCACATGATATCACCCCCTCACCGTGTTAAGACACTCCTTTAGGATCTGAATCTCAGGCTTGATGAGCTTGAAGAGTTTCTCTACTGTCTCATTGCAGGCGATGGGACCACAGGGAGGACCTTTCAGTTCACAAATAATTTCATTAGTAAAAGTTGTGCTCCCCAAATCACCACTTCAGTTTGTAAGGATAGAGATGTATGGAAGACTTTGGCTGCATCCGAAATCACATACTTCGCTACTATATATATAGTAGCATGCGAAAAAACAGTATGTGACAAAACGAGTATGTCCAAATTCTCATAAAACAGAAGACGAAAAGTATCCGGATGACCTACTACTTCTGACAAGATTTTGAAGTGTATACGAAGCATACGATCTCACTATCCCACAAGGCCATGGGAGAGGATTTATGAATGGCAGTGACGTTGTAGGTCACATGATAATGACAAAATGGTGAATGGAAAATGTCCGGATTATATTCACAAGCGGTTGTGAAGTAATTACTTTTTCAATATTCAAAATATGCATTTACTAGGGCTGTCAAATGATTAATCGCGATTAATCGCATCCAAAATAAAAGTATGTGTTTACATAATATACTGTATGTGGGTGCACTGTGTATAATTATTTTATATATATAAATACACACACATGCTTGTATTTAAGAATGTGCTTGTATATTGTACTTGTATATACTGTACATAGATTTATATATAATTTATATTATATATAAATATAAATATTTCATATATAAATAATATTTTTTCCTAAGTATACATGCATGTATGTGTATTTATATATACATATATATATACAAAATAATTATACACAGTGCACCCACATATATTATGTAAACACAAACTTTTATTTTGGATGCGATTAATCGCAAATTAATCGTTTGACAGCCCTAGTATTTACTCAAGAGAGTATGCACATCTCAAAATCTTTAGGTTCTGCACAGTTTCTATGACATTAACAGTCCAACAGTGCCAGCCTGTGTTCATGCTGTGAATTACACACTGTCATTTTGCATTTGGGGGAATTCAGATCCAGGGAAAATGGAATTAACAGTTTCAGTTTCATTTTCGAAATTCTATCAAAACATTTACCTTCATCCTCCTCTTCTCCTTTCTCTCCACCCTTCTTTCCGTCTTTGGCCTCTTTCTGTGTGAATAAGATCTCATTAAAGTCTGATAGGTTACTTTAACTAAACCACAAACTGGCTTGAAGGTGCAGTGCAGTGATTAAATTGAACCACAAACTGGCTTGAAGGTGCAGTGCAGTGATTAAATTGATTTAATAAGTCATTAATGTGGATAATCAGTGTCATTTTTTGGTAAATCTGAACTGAACAATAGTGTCACTGAGAGTGATCAACTGAAAGTGAATGTCATTCATTTTTACCATGCCTTCATCTAAATGTATGCTATTTTTCAGTTTGTAAATATAGAAAATGTCTATTATAAATAATGTGTTTTACTGACCTCCTCTTTCTTCTTCTTCTTCTTAAGCTCCTCTTTGACTGGGTCTGGGATTGGGATGTCCAGAGGAGCCCTGACGACAGACAGATCCTTCAGACTACAGGAACCCTAAAAAATAAAACATATTCTCAATGACTCAATGAGTATGATGGTTTAAGATGCACCTGCTGGATGACTTCTTCATACCTGTAATATTTTATCCATCTCTGCAATTTTCTCAGGGAAGACATTTGAGATCAACTGTTCAGCCTGTTTAAAAGAAACATTGACATATAACAAACTTTCACTATATTACTAGTGTAAAATCATAATACATTAATAAGGGTTCTCCTTCAAACTGCTTCATGAATCTGTTTATCATGTTGGTTCATTTCTTTTATAGTAGCTAGTATATAATACTATTTTCTATAATAACTAGCATAAAGTAAAATGACTGTGGTACATTTGTAAAGGCGATGGAAGAGATTGACTAAATGTTTTTATAATTACCTCCTTGGTGATTTTTTGGGAGAATCCATCCAACTGAAAAGTAGATAGGAAGTGTTTGTCAAACTTACACTAACACGCACGCGTTCATTATGCTTGTGATATTTATATGCAGGTTAAAATCAAATTCCTTCATTTTTTGCTCAATAAACAGTCATAAATGAGTTTTAATTAGGTTTCGGGCCTAAATTAGGCGGCTTACCTGTTTCTTAGATGCGGGGCTCATGTCTAAGGAAGTCATTATTGCAGATATTCGTTTCGATTTGTCCTATTGCAAAACTTTATTGAACCTGTTTGCAGACAAACGCGTTTAATTTCTTATCCCACTGGATAACGTGGGGTTTAGTCTGAAAAGAGACGATCAAATGCACTTGTTCTCGACGAAAC